ATCCCCTACGTTTTTTGCCGTTAGTGCTCGATTTATAAGTTAATAAATAAATAACAAAATTTTTTTTATTGGGAGCGGGAGCGGAGCTTAGAGCGGAGCTCGGAGCGAAATAAAATATGGAGCAGAGATAGAGCGGAGCGATGAAAAAAATACCTTTGCTCCGAAGCACTGGTAAATATCCACATTATAGTCAGCTTTCAGACACGTCAAGTCTTGCTCTCAAGTCTGCTCGTTCGTAGATTCGTTTCAAGTTTTCTTGTCTCTTTGGATCTTTTCGGTGCTTCCCATTTAAAAAACCGAGAACATGAATTCAATAAACTTTGAAGCGTCTGGAAGCAAATAGAAAACACAAAAGAGAATGCGAAAAAAATTGCTTTCAAAACAAGACGTGTCTGAAAGGGGACATACAATATAAAAACTATAGAAAGCGCCAATTCTTTGATAACTTTGTTATCATCATGTTCCGGAAAAATATTCTAAGCGGAATTTTACCTTTAGAGAATATGGTATGCAAAAAAATAAATAGTCCTATTAGAAAGCTAGCATTCAACAGTGTTGTTTTCCATTTAAATCCAAATAAATTGTTACTCTATTTAAGGGAGAATTAAAAAAAAAAACCTTACCTGTAAAATTTACCTTTTATCGCTTACGATAAAATCGCGGATAGGGGTAGATATATCGATAAATAAAAGCCGTACTTTTGTTAAAGTTCTGGTATCGTAAACCTCTGTGCAAATAGACTACTAATGTCAACTAGTACATATCGTCGATGTTTTTGCAAAACCGCCTATCTTACGGCACTCAAATTTTATAGGAGAGCGAAAAAACGGCTTTTCTTTGAAGGCATTGCCTTCTTAGGTGCTATTTATCTAGCTATTATTTTACTAATCTGTTATTTTAATAACGGTTTTAAGATTTTTATGCATAAATATCGATGCCTGGAGTTCAGGGTTACCAAATCTCATTTTTGGCACAACGGCGACTTGGCGGTTTTGCAATTGGTCGATGAGCGGTTTTGCTAAAACATCGACGATATGTACATACATCAGAGTGGTCCTAAATTGCATGTGAAAAAGTAAAGTCGGAATTGTAATGCCGGCACCCCTTAGGACTGTTCTCTACCGAAAAACATATACCACTATCTTTTATTTTGAAATAAACAAAAATTTAGGGAGTGCTCAAAGCGCTCAAAGTTTTTCACGTATTTTATATGGGGAAAAAACAACTTTTCGTAGAAATGGTATAGAATTCTTGAAAACCAATATTTTTAGATCGGAAAACTCGGCTCCTATTCACGAGATTCCCAATAATAATACCTAATTGTTTCTTTAACGATTTTTTCACAGTAACTATATTTTATATGTCCGCCAACACACCCAGAAAATGCAATGGGTGATCAATAAAAAATCTTTAATATTAAAAAATGGTTAAGTAAATAACTGGGCATTAATACTGCAAGTCTCCTGAAGAGAGCCACAGTTTTCCGATCGAAAAATATTGATATGAAGATTTGATTTCAAAATAAAAAAAGGGTATATGTATTTTGTTTCGGTATAGAACAATTCTAGGGGGTGCCGGCCAAGCTCTGCTGTAAGCTGTAAGCTCTTCTTTTAATGATGAAAGTTCATATTTTCGAAGAAGAATTATTAATTTGGTACCAGTTACACATACCTGTGCTGGAATAGGCCTCACTTGGGTATCCCCGCAGACCGCTAGGAGAAGAATATGTTGGCGTTTCGTAACTCGACTGCGAAGTGCCCTCGACGGACTGGCGGGCGGCAGCTGCGGCAGCATGTCGCTCATCACTAGCGCTCATGTAGGCCGCCGCAGCCGGTGTGGGTTGGTCCCGGTAATTCCAATACGGCTGTAATAAAGAACCAAAAATAATGCAATTTAAAATTTAAGTAATATTTAACATAAAAATCTGTATTATGGAACTTGTTCTTCGTTCTTAATTTACAGAAGGGTTTCGCCCTCATAAACTTACCTGATATTGCGTTTCGGGATAGCCATAAAAAACTGGTTTTCGATCTCGATCTAGAAAGTATTGCGAAGCATGGTATTGTGCCGAGCTGAAGCCATCACCATCATAGGCCCATGGGTGAGGATGCCGTTTAACAGCAGCCGTTGCATCGGCTTCGAAACCAGGCCGGATCGCGGGAATATGCAGAGGTGCTAACAGGGACATGTCTGAAATTTGAAAAGATTTTCGGCAATGTTACACAAAAAATCCAAACCACTATTCGTATATACTATAAATTATCAGATTAAAAATCTAATTTTGAGATATCGATTTATTCACCAAAAAGTTGTCGTTAATAATTTAAAAAGTCAGGCGCGAGATTAAAACTCTCGGATCTCTCTCTCTCTCTCTGTCTCTCTATTTGATCCTAATTTGTTATTTTATCACAATGGGGACGTTTAAGTGAGTTTTACTTCTTTATTAAAAAATTATCGGACGAAGGAAAACATGCTTTTCTTTAATTCTGCTAAGATTTCTTTCATGGAATCAAAAGAATGAAATGGATATTAAAGAAATGTTTCGTGTATACGTATTCATGGGAACCGCTAAATAAATCTCAACACATTCTCAGATTTTCCTTATTTCATAAAAGTTTAGAAAATCGGACACCTGTCTACACCTTTTCCAAGAGTACTTCAGAAAGCGTAAAATGTACTTCAGAAAACGTAAAATGTACTTTTACAACTGACTATTCTGAAGTATATTTTACGTTTTCTGAAGTACATTTGTCGCTTTCTGAAGTACATTTTACAGTTTGAGAAGTACATTTGACGCTTCCTGAAGTACTCTTGGAAAAGGTGTAGTCATGGATTTACCAAACGATCTTAGACATGAGGTTTATGTAGGTACACATATCCATTGCTGTCTTAGATAACCTAACGAAAGAGTTATGTCCGTGAAGAAGTTCTGCGACAACAATGATCCGGTTAGTTGGTGACAATTTCAATACTCCTCGTATCATTGGTCCGTAGAAATCCAATACACATATAATTATTTCAGACTAAATACCTTAAATCTCTTACAATTTTATTTATAGGCATTCATCATGAATTGTCTTTATTCTATTTAGTGGTTGATTCAACAGTGGTAATTTGGCTTTGATCCCTGGTGTCTCTGAATTACTTCCACTTGACGATTTTTAGAAATAACTCGACTCCAGCGACACCTTGCGTTTGAGGTTATAAATATATGTAGCGTCATCTGTTACTCAAGATCCGAAATATCTACATACGCCNCTTTTACAACTGACTATTCTGAAGTATATTTTACGTTTTCTGAAGTACATTTGTCGCTTTCTGAAGTACATTTTACGGTTTGAGAAGTACATTTGACGCTTCCTGAAGTACTCTTGGAAAAGGTGTAGTCATGGATTTACCAAACGATCTTAGACATGAGGTTTATGTAGGTACACATATCCATTGCTGTCTTAGATAACCTAACGAAAGAGTTATGTCCGTGAAGAAGTTCTGCGACAACAATGATCCGGTTAGTTGGTGACAATTTCAATACTCCTCGTATCATTGGTCCGTAGAAATCCAATACACATATAATTATTTCAGACTAAATACCTTAAATCTCTTACAATTTTATTTATAGGCATTCATCATGAATTGTCTTTATTCTATTTAGTGGTTGATTCAACAGTGGTAATTTGGCTTTGATCCCTGGTGTCTCTGAATTACTTCCACTTGACGATTTTTAGAAATAACTCGACTCCAGCGACACCTTGCGTTTGAGGTTATAAATATATGTAGCGTCATCTGTTACTCAAGATCCGAAATATCTACATACGCCCACATACTTTTTGTCTCCTTCTCTCACTTCCAACGCAAGCACGTGTTTGCAAAATGATGATGAAGTGATTTTGTATGGAAAATCATTATGCCCATATATTCGAATAAAATAAACATACTTAGATATACCAAACGAAAGGAAAACACCTGAATTTTTGACTAAAGAAAATAAAAACAAAATCATTCGAGCGGTTTTCCAGCATTTTGGTATTACAAAAAATTTGCAATTTTGTTTAACAATTTTTTGCCCTCCCCCGTCATGCTAATGACCCAAATACAAATTGTATCTTAAATCTTTGAATCCAGCTCTCAAGAAAAATCACAAGAAATATTTTTTATTATTACTGTTGCTTGAAAAAGCACTTTGCTTTTTCTGTAAGTTTAAGGAATTTTGATAGAAGAAATTTTCTTTTCCATTTCTTGTGCGTAATTTTATCCTATGCACTTTTCGTTTTTCTTGAGAGCTTCCAAAGTTTAATTGCGAATGAAAACGTTGTCCTAAAAATATGCATTACATACTCACTTACTGTTGTTTTTACACTTTACAGCCTAAAAGAGTTTACCACTGCTATGTACTTAAAAGGAATTCGAAGATTTAATTTGCCAACTATGAATTCGTCCCACCAAAATGAGCTACATAATTAAAATACAAATTCAGTTATTTTTTTCGGTACTCGAAATATTAAAAAAATGAGGCAATCGTAAAAAGTCACCATCTCCATCAAAAGCCAAAAATCAGAAATCGAGGACAATGAACATTAAAACCTTTTTTTTAATATTTTTGGTTACTTTTGAAAGTTGAGCGCGTCTTGTTTTTGTAGAACTTTTTGTTAAACTAGTGATTTTTAAGCAAAACACACAACCAACTTCATTTCTCATATACACATTTAAGAGTGCCGTTAATTTTTTCCTGTTCCAATGATCGGATCTAAACCAAATTACGGGACGATCCTTGAGGTACCATATTTACGATAAAAAATAAACATTGAAATCGGTTCACGTGGTCCAAAGTTATGCAGTAGAATACCTTAAAAAAGAAAAAATATTCCGATGGATTAGTAAGCGCCCCCACTTTTTGAAGTCGGTTAAAAGTGTTTTCGGAAATCACCACATTTCCTCATCAGACTTCTTTCAGTAGGATTCAGTCCGTCTCAGCCTACGCACTGCGCTAAATTCGCCTTGTGAATTCATGTTGCTTTTTTCCACTATTTCATTTGTTAAGCCAACTACAATCAAGCGCAGCTATTCCAGTGCTATTTAAACTTGATCATTTGGTGTTTGAGTTCTTTGTTAATTTTAGTAAATAAAGTGCAATTTATGAAACTTTAAAAAGTTTATTTATTTATTACATACTGTACATAAAACTTGCATAAATGTATTTTAAAGAGCATATTATCTGAAGCGAATTTTCAATATTTTCTGGTATTATATCTTTAGAAGTATAAAACCACTCCCAAAATATATTCCTGGGTGTGCTCGTGCTTAAAATGCTCAATATTGGTTGAATTTATATAAAATTTGTACACGATAATATTTCTATTGCACCACAAAATCTATATCCCGAAAATGAAAGTTATATCTGCAAATCATAAGTTGCTCGAGCACTTTAAAGGCTCAAAATTTACCCCAAAATAAGCCAATACTTCCCGCTGTTTCTACGACAGACACCGAACTGGTTACTTACAATGTAATGTAGGTTTGGAATTTTGTCTTTGAAACGCCGTACTTTTCTTTGAAATCGATTCACTAGTTCTCGTGCAATAACCGTTTTCGTGAAGCTCTAAAAATTAGAACTACAACATTTCAGCATAGCCTCCATATCGATACGTAAGACGTATTCTACCTCAAAAAATTTATTAAAATCGTTTCGGTCGTTTAGGTGTTCACTCAGAGACATACGTACCGAAGAATTATATACATATGTAAATTTGTATTTACAAATAGGTAAAAGTTTCAACAGTTTCGGAAGGCATCATGACCTCTTTTTCCAATTTTCCACTTTTTTTAATGAGTATGAGATTGATTTAAAATATTTCCATACTAAGTTTTCTTCCAGAGCTATGCGGTATGAAAAATTCGATTTCTATGGGAGATGCCACGCTTCCTTGATATGTCGAAATTATTTTCAGCGTATAACAATCCTTAGAAAGTCTGCAGTAGCTGCCTCTCTTCTTCTTCTTCTTCTTTATTGGCGCTTAGAAAGTCCGCAGTAGCTGCCTCTCTTCTTCTTCTTTATTGGCGCTGTAACCGCCTAGGCGAGTTTGGCCGAGTCCAAAACAACAAACCAGAAATTTCTCTTATGTGCCAACTGACGCCAATTGGAAATGACAAGTGAAGCAAAGTCTTTCTCGACCTGGTCTTTCCAACGCAGAGGAGGCCTTCCTCTGTTACCAGCATCGCGGCTCGCGTTGAATACTTTCAGAGCAGGAGCGTTTCTGTCCATTCGCACGACATGGCCAAGTATAGACAAATTGCCAATGCCCGCACGCTTGGCGGGGCCTTGAAACGCCTTTCGAACCGTAAAAAATCATTCGATTCTATTTTATGAACATCATATATCTATATAATCGGTACGTGTACCGAATTTCAAGCAAATCGGACAGTAAATAAGATATTTTTTAATAATCGGTCCCTGGTTCACCTATAAGAAAAAAATATCCTGCATATCGCACACGGTCTTCAAAGGTGACGCAACTTGAAATTACACATTCGTCAGAAAACTCGAAAAACTATTTCTTAGCACATGCTAATCATATGGGCAAAGGACACTTTACCTTAGGTTTTTTCCATAAATTATAACAAAAATTTCTCCAGCTTTTGCCGAAAGATAAATAAAAGCACTGTGTGCATTTTTAGTGTAATATTCCAAATTTCGAGTTGTGTCACTTTTAAAGATCGTTTGCGATCGTTTCCTAATCCAAGCATCTACGTGCCAGATTTCAAGCAAATCGCACCATAAATAAGATTTTTTCGGATAAATCGGTTTCTGGTCCACCTACCGGAAAAAAGTAAATTTTGGGGCCCTTGACATGGTGGTTTCTGAAAGCTATTTATAAACAAAATTTCGCGAGATTTTTATTGTTTATTATTATTATTGATGTGGTGAAATTGCTTGTTGGTGGTAGCGGGAAATACAAAAACTTGTGAGCAACAAAACAAAAGTCAGCATATATAAAAATCAGAGAGCATATTTTTCGATTTTAGCTTTGCTTGATTATTCGTGTTTACTGGAGTTGAAAATCAATCCTTATTCTATAATACATTAATTAATAGAAAAAAACTCGGAAACTTGCACGGAGAAGCTAGTTATTAATTTTTTTCGTTCCATCCACGGTTGCTCTGGCCTTCATGCCGCGTGCCGAGCGGACTTGC